AATCCATTCATTCAATCATTCGTTCATTACCGGAGCAAACCCATTTTACAGGTAAGTATATGAAGGCTTGAGGAAATTGACTTGCCCACAGTATGGAAGCGGCCTCTTCAGTGCCTGGGAGAGTGGACACCATCCTCACGGCCCCCCGCCCTACTAGGGCCGGCACTCCAGCGCGGGCCTCACCTCTGAGCAGCTCATAGGCACGGGCCACGTTGAACTTCCGCGCACGGATGAAGCGCAGGAAGAAGCCGCTGTCCTTGTCCTGCACCCTCTCCGCCACGGCCACAGCCAGCTCCTCCCCGGAGGCGGCCTGCTCCTGCACCATCTCCTGCAGCTCGCGCACCGCCTCCTCCCGGGTCTCCTCTCTCTCGTTCAGCTCATCCTTGGCCTGGAACAGGGTGGGGTGTGCATAAGGTTAGGCTTAGGTGCGGGTGAGGGGCAGGACACACAGGTGATGAGTCTCCTCCCAGAGCCAGACCAGCCCAAGGGGCCCAGGCTCTGCAGCAGCGCCCTCTCTCTTCTGCCCCAGGGACAGCACCTGAGATTGTTCTGTGTGGAGAGGATTCAAATTGTTCATCCTGGATATTTGCAGAATGTGGCCAACAGTCTAAATGTTTCTAATAATGACAGCCTATGCTTACTGAGCCTTTCCCTAGCAACCTGCTAAGTCCTTTAAAGGCATTGTGTTTTTACATCTTTGCACAGTCCACATGGTTGGTGTTCTTATCCCCATCTCTCAGAGGAGCAGACTGAGGCTCAACAAGGTGAAGATATTCTCGCTCAAGGTCACCCGGAGAGAAAGGAGCGGAGCTGAGACTCCTCTTTCCATTGAGTCTCCCTGCTGCCTCCCAAGCTTCGTTCCAACTTTTTCAAAAACAGCTCTCTGGCACATGGCAGCCTGCCTCCTGCCCAGAGCCTCACTTTCCTCCCTCTGCTGGCCTCAGACACTTGTCTCCTAGGACAGCTTGAGGAGCGAAGGGAAAGGAGGGGGAGTCAAGTGTGAAGGAGCTAATAGCACCTTTCCTGTGAGATGCCCAAGGAAGCCGAGATGGAAGCTGGGAGCCCAGGCTTAGCTCAGCCACTTCCCACCCTCCCCAGCAGCTCTGTCAGCCTCCACAGAGCACAGTCTGATCATCCCTGAGCTAGTTCACCAACTGTCTTTCACAGGTGCAGAGGGCAAGACCCAGAAATGGAAAGCCATCTGCTCAAGATCACACAGCAAACTGAAACTGGAACTCAGGCCCCTTGCCCGTCTAGCAGGGGCAGCAGCTGGATCCTTGCTCCCCAGGGCCATTTCCAAACCCATGCTCCTCACACTGAGTCTAGTTTAGAGGACCCCCATTCAGAGGCTCTGGGCTGTAGTCTTGAGTTGGGCTGGCTGGGTGTCTGGTCAACCCAGTTGCTGCCACCAGGAAGGACCCTAGAACAGGCCAGTCTATCAGGTCTAGGACGATCTGGAGTGCTGGGGCTGGACCTTTTTCGCAGGAGAGAGGACGAGATCACGGTCCCCTTATGTTGCCCCCTAGGTTGCCCCTCCCGGCACTGTCAGCCACCTCACCTTCTGCAAGGTGTGGCGGGGCAGCTGGGTGCACGGACCAAAGACGGGTCCGTGGTCCTTGGTTGTGAGCTGCTCCAGCTGGGCACGGAGTTCCTGCTCCTCTTCAGGGACCATGCGGAACGTGCCCACCTGGGCAGAGAAAGGGAAAACAGGAACATCCCCGCTGTCAGCCCCAGCCAGCCATGGAAATGACCTGCTCACACCTTCAACTCGTGCTCTTGCCCAAGATCACTGTTCAGCCTTCTCGTTTTGTGAGGTCAGGACCCACAGAGAGGTGAGAGGAGTGTGTGCCTATAATCCTGGGCAGAGCAGGTGATAGAGAAGTAAGGCGGGAGGGAGAGGGAAGAGAAGGGTGCTGGGTGGAGGAGCGCCTTGGAGGATGGCACACTTACCCCTTCTGACATATTGCCTCTGGAAGACAGAGTCCTTGGAAAAAGAAGGAAATCTGCTTTCTCTGTCCTGGCCTCTCCACTGGACCCCTTCCCTAGGAGAGGAAGTCAGGGCTTCAGGGGTTAGAGAAACCATTCTGTTATTATCTCAGAACAGTGGATCTCAAACTTTGAATGGCATCAGAATCACTTGAGGCATTTGTTAGAAATGCAGGTGCCCAGGCCGCGACCTCCATGCTTCTGACTCTGGAGGTGCAGGCTCAGGCCTAGGCATCTGCAATTCAAAGCATGCCCAGGTGGCTCCCAGGGAGATGGTTCTCGGGCTACACTTTGGGAAACACTGCTTTGACGAAGGGCACACATGCAAATGGCTCAGTCCTCAGATGTTCAGACAAGTTGGCCCCACCAGGAAAAAACAAGAGTCTGGCTCCATTCCCAATGACACAATCACTGCAGGATAAGGTGATCCTTCCTCCCTCCTGTGGCCATCCTTCTCCAGCCCAAAGGGGTCCCTCAGACACTTCCCAGCCTAGTGGACGGCCCTCTCCCCAATTCATTCACTCTCAAGATGGGCAATGACCAGTTACATAAGTACATAATCATGAGGCTGGGAGTGTGTTCTGTGCTTTGGGACATGCTAAGTACTCCCAAATCCACTCTCTCAGCACCATGGCTGGCCTTATTATTCCCATTTGATAAGGAGGAAACAGAGGAGGGGGGAGAAGTGACTCATCCAAGGTAACATAGCCAAAAAATCTCCAGGGATCAGGACTCAGACCCAAGCTGTGACTTCCTGTCAGCACCAAGAGGCAACCCGCTGTGGCGCGGAAGTCGGACCTGGGTTCAAGTTCCTCTTCTCCACTTGCAGGCTATGTGGTTTAACCCGAGCCTTGGCTGTTCCCTGTAAAGTAGGAATGGAAGGGTTGCGACATGTCATTTAAAAATGGACACATAAGCGATGCTTGGTTACCAGGACAGATCCCATTTATGGCCCACATGACAACCTGCTTCCCTACTGGGTATTTTTGGAGACAACTCTTCTGTTTCCAGGTTTCCTCTCCTGCCTAAATGTCCCGCCTAAGTGCCTTCAAGAATGCTTCACCATCCTGCTCCTTCCTGTGACCAGATTCCACGGTCAGTTCAATTACCTCATCACAGCTGGTAAGTGACAGAGCTGGGATTTGAACTGATGTCTGCCTGATGCCAAGTCTTTTTTTGATGCCTAGAGCCAAGACCTCTGCAGGCAAACTCTCTAGGAGAGCTAGTGTCATAGAAACCCTAAAGGTTAGGGAGACCTGGCTTTGAATCAGGCTTTGTCATTTATGACTTGTGTGACCCTAGCAAGTTATTTAACCTTCCTCAGTCCCCGTTTCCTCATCTGTAAACTGAGGGTAACAACAGTACCTACCAAAAAGAACGGTCATGAAAACCATACAATTCCTGCAATGCTCCTGGCGCAGCATCCTGTTCTAAAACACAGTTTCCCTTCTCTTCCTTAACTCCATATTGATCATGACCCTAACTTGCACAAAGAGACGTGGAGGACCCCAAAGAATACCTAAGGGTCTCCCATCTCCTGCTCCATCCACTCCACAGCCCCAGCAAGGGCAGGGAAGTTCTGGGGGCCATAATCCACCGACAGGAACCAAATCTAAGCCATCTTTCTGGCTGGTAGACACCCAAATTTTTGGGTGCAGAGATAGACCGGAATGCTGCTGTGTTATCACTTGGGTTTTGCTAGAACAGGAATGGAAATGGAGGGGCTGACAGAACCACCCTAAGGAGCCCAGGCAGGAGGGACAGTGGCTGGATACCCCCAGCCAGTTGTGCAGAGCATCAGAACAAGATCCTAGGTCTTAGGAATACAAGGTTCAAGTCTGTATTCCTAAGCAACTCTTTTCGAAATATGCCCAAGCTGTTAACTTTGAGTTTTAACTATACTGATTGACAAGCTGTACACAACGAAAAAATGCCTATCCCTCTTGCCATGCCGATGCTGTTCCCTGCCATCCCAGGTTGCCATTGAAAATATAGAATGCCCAGTTAAATGTGAACTTTTTTTTTTTGAGACGGAGTTTCATTCTTGTCACCCAGGCTGGAGTGCAGTGGTGCAATCTCAGTTCACTGCAACTTCTGCCTCCTGGGTTCAAGCGATTCTCCTGCCTCAGCCTCCTGAGTAGCTGAAACTATAGGCACACACCACCAAGCCTGTCTGATTTTTTGGATTTTTAATAAAGACGGAGTTTCAGCATGTTGGCCAGGCTGGTCTCAAACTCCTGACCTCAGGTGATCCACCCACTTCAGCCTCCCAAAGTGCTAGGATTACAGGCGTGAGCCACTGCACCCAGCCTAAATGTGAACTTTTTTAATACTAAAAAAGTATTTGTTGTTCATCTGAAATTCATATTTAACTGGGTGTTCTGTATTTTTCTTTGCTAAATCTACCATCAAATTGGTCTAGCTCAACCTGGAGCATGGCCAGGTGGTTTCAGTTTTACAGGCAGCTTGGGACATGGTCTCCCTGCGCCCCTGAGTCCTTACCCCAGTCCTGGGCTCCCTGGCCCAGGCAGGCCCCAGGTATTGACTTACCTGCCAGGTTGGCAGCTCCTCCTTGGGGCTACCTGGTACCTGAATGTCCTGGAGCTCTAGAGGTTGCCTCCGCTGGAGGCGTGGTCCGGTCAGCAGGTTGGGATTAGTGTCATAAGGAACTTCTCACCGCCCACAGTTTCCGTTAAATCGGGCTCGCAGGAGGCCCGGAGTGGGGCAAAGAAGACCCGAGAGGGGAGAGGGGAGAGGCCTGGGCCTGGCTGGAGAGGCATCAAAGCCCTCCTTTGTGTGCTCCTGCTCTGGAGTTCCTGCTCAGCCATGTGGAAGCCCAGCCGTGGGGCTGGTATCTGGGCCAGTCCCATTCCCTTTTCCCTGCCCTCTTTCTCCTCAAGATCCGGGCATGGGGTTGCTGAGAGAGCACCCCGCAGGGTAAGAAGAGGTGAAGGGAAATTGTGAATGTGATTACAGTGACAGTGGCAGCTCTGGCCAATCCAGGCTTGTGGCCTACCCTCTCCCGCAGCCAGCAGGACCTGGCGTGGTAGTTTTCACCTCTGCAGCGAGTGGGGTCAGTGGGAAATGTAGCTCGTTAAGCAGGGAGAGGACAAGACAAGTTGAGCCTCCTTGTAGGTGGCATGGTACAGCGGACGGCATGCTCCGGAACCAGGCTGCCGGCTTAAAGCCTTGCTCCAGCATCCTCTGGCCATGAGATGTGGCTTCAAAATTCAGCAGCTCTAAGTTTCCTCCCCTAAGAAGAGGAGAAAGCAGGAGGACCAGGCTCATGGATCTGTGTACATGAAATGACAGTTAAGTGTTCAGTTCAGGGGTTTAGCTGCCTAACCCTTAATAAGTCCTCTGGAAAGGTCATTTACTGCAAATACAGGATCAATGGGCACCTAACTGGAGGGAACTCATTATTCAACCCTGTGTACAGGGGCAAACCCCTCTGCAGCCTCTCACCAGGCAGCTTTCCAGATTCTGTTTTGCCATTCCACTGGAGGAAGTGATTCCTCTAGAACATTCTTTGTCTGGGATTCCAAAGGCAGGAAGCCCCTGTTTCCATTGTGGGGACTCTCCTTGTTTAAAAGCTCATTGTTGGTCTGAGCCCCAAGCAGCTTCCTGTAATGACCACCCTTGGTCCTGGTTTCCCTTCCTAGAGGTGCGCGGGACAGGCTCAAGCTCCCCCACACAGGTCGTTCTCCAGAATCCAAGCCCAGAAGCGCTTTCTTTTTTATTTTCCTTGGACATAGTTCCTGCTTTGCCACCCATTCCTACTTCGGCAGGTTTGGGTTCTCTTCACACCACCCCATCCCCTGCTGACCCCTTCCTCCAGAGCCAGCTACAGTGCCTGGTGCTTAGATCTTGGGGTGCACACCTTGAGTTCTTCGCTTCCAACAGCCCTTTCCCTGGGCTCCTGCTCTGGCGCTGTCTGGGTCTTGGGCTGTTTCCATCCCAAGTCCTCTGTGGAGCTGGGATCCTTCATTTCTGTCATTCTTCTTCCTGATGGTCTAGTCCTACACTGTCCTATACAGTAGCCGCTAGCCACATGTAGCTTTTCAAGCATTTGAAATTGGTTAATGGTAGAGATGGGGTCTCACTATAAAAAATTAAATTTAAAAATTTAGTAATACAATTCCCAAGGACTAAATTTGGTGGGGTGGGTTGGGGACAGAGTCTCACTCTGTCGCCCAGGCTGGAGTGCAGTGGTGCGACCTCAGCTCATTGCAACCTCTGCCTCCTGGGTGCAAATGGTTCTCGTGCCTCAGCCTCCTGAGTAGCTGGGATTACAGGCATGCACCACCACAGCCAGCTAATTTTTATATTTTTAGTAGAGATGGGGTTTCACATGTTGGTCAGGCTGGCCTCAAACTCCTGAGCTCAGGTGATCCACCAGCCTCAGCCTCCCAATGTGCTGAAATTACAGGTGTCAGCCACCACGCCTGGCCTTAAGTTTTTAATTTTATTTGATTTTGATTATCTTATATTTAAATTTGAAAACTAATACTGGATTCCGTTTTTTTTTTTTTTAACTTTTAAGTAGGTTTAGAACAACTTAGATGTGTGATCTTATTTTTTTTCAACTGTAAATTTTGTGATGAAGTATTTCTCATAAGAATTTAGAGTCCCAGGCCGGGCGCGGTGGCTCAAGCCTGTAATCCCAGCACTTTGGGAGGCCGAGGCGGGTGGATCACGAGGTCAAGAGATCGATACCATCCTGGTCAACATGATGAAACCCTATCTCTACTAAAAATACAAAAAATTAGCTGGGCATGGTGGCATGTGCCTGTAATTCCAGCTACTCAGGAGGCTGAGGCAGGAGAATTGCCTGAACCCAGGAGGCGGAGATTGCGGTGAGCCGAGATCGTGCCATTGCACTCCAGCCTGGGTAACAAAAGCGAAACTCCATCTAAAAAAAAAATAAATAAATAATTTTGAGTCCCAAGTGAGATGTGCTATAAAGTACCTACCATTTTAAAGACTTAGTACAAACAAAATAATGTAAAATATCTCATTAACAATTCTTATATGCTCACTGTTCTGAAATGATAATGATTATGTTTGAGATATATTGGATTAAAAATATATTAGAGCTTGTAATCCCAGCACTTTGGGAGGCCAAGGCTGGAGGATCACTTGAGGTCGGGAGTTTGAGACCAGCCTGGCCAACATGGTGAAACCCAGTCTCTGCAAAAAAAACAAAAATTAGCTGGGTGTGGTGGCAGGCACCTGTAATCTCAGCTACTCAGGAGGCTGAGGTAGGAAGATCGCTTGAAACTGGGAGGTAAAGGTTGCAGTGAGCTGAGATCATGCCACCACACTCCATCTCAAAAAAAAAAAAATACACACACGAGCTAATTTTGCCTCTTTCTTTTTTCGAGACTGAGTTTTCTTCTGTCACCCTGGCTATATTGCAGTGGCATAATCAAGCTCACAGCAACCTCCATCTCCCTAGCTCAAGCCATCCTCCTGCCTCAGCCTCCTGAGTAGCTGAGACCACAGGAATGCACCACCACATCCAAATAACGTTGTTGTTTTTTTTGAGACGGAGTCTTGTTTTGTCACCCAGGCTGGAGTGCAGTAGTGTGATCTCAGCTCACTGCAACCTCTACCTCTCAGGTTCAAGCAATTCTCCTGCCTCAGCCTCCCGAGTAGCTGGGTTTACAGGCATCCGCCACCACACCCAGCTGATTTTTGTATTTTTGATAGAGACGGGGTTTCACCATGTTGGCCACACTGGTCTTGAACTCCTGATCTCTGGTGATATGCCTGCCTCAGTCTCCTAAAGTGCTGGGATTACAGACTTGAGCCACCATGCCTGGCCATTTTAAAATTACTATTATTTGTTGTAGAGACAAGGTCTCACTATGTTGCCCAGGCTGGTCTCGAACTTCTGGACTCAAGCGACCATCCCACCTTGGCCTCCCAAAGTACTGGGATTACAGATGTGAGCCACCGCACCTAGCCCTGTATCATTTTTTAGTGGTGAGGTCTCACTCTGTCGCCCGGCCTGGAGTGCACTGGCATGATCATAGGTCACTGCAGCCTCCCACTCCCTGGCTCAAGCAATCCTCCTGCCTCAGACCCTTGAGTAGCTAGGACTATAAGCAGATGCTAACCAGCTGAACTAATTTTTTTTTAAATATGGAGTCTTGCTCTGTCGCTCAGACTGCTGCCTCCACCTCCTGGGTTCAAGATGTTCTCCTGCCTCAGCCTCCTGAGTAGCTGGGACTACAGGTGGGTGCCACCACGCCTGGCTAATTTTTGTTTGTTTGTTTGTTTTCAGTAGAGATGGGGTTACACCATGTTGGCCAGGCTGGTCTTGAACTCCTGACCTCAAGTGATTTCACCTCCCAAAGTGCTAGGATTACATGAGTGAGCCACCACGCCCAGCCTCAACTAATTTTTAAAATTATTTTCTGTAGAAATGAGGTCTCACTATGTTGCCCAGGCTGGACTCAGACTCTTGGTCTTGAGCTGTCCTCCTATCTTGGCCTCTCAAAATGTTGCGATTATAGGCCTGAGCCACAGCACCTAGTCCACTTGTTTCTTTTTACATTTTTTTGATGCAATATTAGAAATTTAAAATGACATCTATTTCTCATGGAGAATGCTGGTTTAAACCTTGCTACTGTTCAGTGTGGTCTAGAAACCAGCAGCATCGGCATCCCCCTGTGGGAACTGCAAAGTCTCCGTCCCCAGAGAGGCCAAGTCAGAGCCTGGACTGGCTTAGGGCCCACCCTAATGACGTCATTTTAACTTAATTACCTAAAATTACTTAATTTTTAGCCAGAACAGTGGCACATCTCTGTAGTCTCAGCTACTGGGGAGGCTGAGGAAGGAGGATCTCTTGAGTCCAGCCATTCGAGGCTGTAGTGAGCTATGATTGCACCTTTGAACATCCACTACACTCCAGCCTGGGCAACACATTGAGACCCTGGCCCAAATAAATAAATAATTTTAATGGAGTTTACCAGGTCTAATAATTCCTATGCATATAAAAGTTTGAAAAGCACTGCCCTGGAGAATGTCTACCCTTTCGCTGTTCCTGGCTGTGCCCAGCAGAGTGGCTTCCTGACCTGTCACTTTCACCAGCCGGGAGGTGTGGTGAGGAGTCAGACCTTGGATTGCCCTCACCCACCATCCTCTTCCTCTCTGGGACAGGCAAGTGAGGCTGGGTTGTGAGTGGAGGCAGAGAGGGAGGGTCTGGCCTTGCCTAGTACGAGCCACTGACCCTCTTAGGCCTCAATTATTTCATCTGTAAGATGTCACATGGGCCAAATGGCATATGGCATCTGTCCACTCCCCACCCATCCAATTCCTACGTGGAAGCCCTAACTCCCAGACCTCAGAATGTGACTGTTATTCACAGATTGTGTCTCTAAAGAGGCAATTAAGTTAGAATAGGGTCATTAGGGTGGCTCTAATTCAATAAGGTTGGTATCCTTATAAGAAGAGGAAGTTTGGGCTGGGCGCGGTGGCTCACGCCTATAATCCCAGCACTTTGGGAGGCCGAGACGAGTGGATCACGAGGTCAAGAAATCAAGACCATCCTGGTCAACAAGGTGAAACCCCATCTCTACTAAAAATAAAAAAATTAGCTGGGCATGGTGGTGTGTACCTGTAGTCCCAGCTACTCGGGAGGCTGAGGCAGGAGAACTGCTTGAACCCAGGAGGCGGAGGTTGCAGGGAGCCAAGATCGTGCCATTGCACTCCAGTCTGGGTAACAAAAGCGAAACTCCATCTCAAAAAAAAAAAAAAGAAGAGGAAGTTTGGACACAGTTACAGTGGGAAGACCATGGGAAGACACAGGGAGAAGATGGCACCTTACAAGCCAAGGAAAAAGGTCACAGAGGAAACCGATTCTACAGAGGAAGTCCTTGATCTCGGACTTTCAGCTTCCAGAGCTAAGAGAAAAAAATGAATTTCTGTTGTGGAAGCTGCACGGCCCACAGTACTTTGTGATGGCAGCCATAGCACACGAATATAGATGGGAGGATGGATTTTTCCCAGGTACTTCATAGAGTGCGAGGCTCCTTGGAGATCATGAGAATGGGAGCCCAGGCTGCCCCATGGGAAGTAACCATGAGGGCTCAGAAGAGGCTGGGTGATGGGTGCTGGGTGATGGGTGATGGACTCCATGAAAAACACTCCTGCCCACCAGGAACCCTCTCAAGTGAATGGCCCAGCCCTAATAGGAGCAGGCTGCACGGAGCTTTGCAGGATGCTAGCCGGCCGTGAGAGCATTCTGGGGGAGCAGCGCTTTCTGCAGCATGATCTTCTGCTCGAAGCCCTTCTAGAGCCTCTAATCTTCCCTCCTCCATCCCCAAGAGTCACGCTCACATTCAGCTCCCCTGATGGAACAATAGTGCCACTGTGAGAGCACTGCCGTCACTGGCCCAGACACCTGTACTGGCCACATCAGCAGACAACCGTGGACTTCCTGGATGCTGCCCTCTGCCCGGCTGAAGGCTAGGAGGGAGATGACTCACATCTGTGGGTTCCTCACCAGTGTTACCTCAGAGAGTATAATCCCCTTTTTCACAGACTAGGATACTGAGAGTCCGGGAGTCAAGGGGCTTTCCCAAAGCCACACAAGCTGGTTAGAAATAGAGTCTCAGGGGGGACAGGCCCCGTGACTCATGCCTGTAATCCCAGCACTTTGGGAGGCCAAGGTGGGCGGATCACCTGAGGTCAAGAGTTCAAGACCAGCCTAACCAACATGGAGAAACCCTGTCTCTACTAAAAATACAAAATTAGCTGGGGATGGTGGCATATGCCTATAACAAGCACCCTGACAAATCATATAGTTCAGCTCCTCGCCAGTACCTCCTTCTCTTCCCCTGACATGGGTGGGCCTTTCTTTGTGGAATGAGCAATACCTCCTGGAGGGAGGGAACTTTTTAGAGCATGGGAGAGGCTGCGAGCCCCAGGGGTCAGAGACCCTGCTTACTTGCTCTCGTTAATACAGCGCAATTATAAGGAAAGTGCAGAATGTTCCCAGACTTGGGTTTTCCTGCTTCTCAAAGGAAGGGCTGAGGCCTGGGATTCCATAAGGTCCTCCCTAGCCCAGGATAATTGCTACTGACCAAAGAAGGGATTTTGGACCAAACTCTTGCCCACTGGAACTGCTCCCAGGGAGGGTCAAGTAATGTCACCTTCCCCAGGAGCCAGGGGCAGGTGTGAGGTCCCTGGGCAGACACCCCTGTGTTGATCTTGCTTTTTGAGGAGGGACAGCCTTGTGTGTTGAATGCTGAAACGTCTTTAGAATGGCTGACACCTCTACTTCTTTTTTTTTTTTTTTTTTTTTGAGAGAATTTCGCTCTTGTTGCCTAGGCTGGAGTGCAATGGTATAATCCCAGCTCACCACAACCTCCACCTCCCGGCTTCAAGTGATTCTCCTGCCTCAGACTCCCAGGTAGCTGGGGTTACAAGTGCCCACCACCACGCCCGGCTAATTTTTGTATTTTTAGTAGAGATGGGGTTTCACCATGTTGGCCATGCTGGTCTTGAACTCCCGACCTCGGGTGATCCACCAGCCTCGGCCTCCCAAGGTGCTGGGATTATGGGTGAGAGCCGCCACGCCCAGCCTCAAGAAGCCTTCTTCTTCCTATTTTATCATTCTTTCCCTTCCTCTCCCCTACATTCTTTCAACCAGCTTTTATTGAGTAGCTATTATATGTTAGGCACTGTGCATCCAGAAAGAAATAAAATACTACCTCTGCCTTAAGCAGCTCACAGTGTAGAAGGGGAGAGCCATACACAAAATAATTATAAAATAGGGCAAGCAGTATGACAAGACAAAGCTTCTGGAATGATCCATGTGATAATGCCAAAAAATGCTCCACAAAAATGGGGAGTTGCTCTTTGGTTAAGTTTGATTTGAGAAATGTTACAAATTATATGGGAAGTTATTAATGAACGTGAGCAATGCAAAGGCTCTGAGAAGTCCTGCAGCAAAGCAATCTAGCAGTTTAGGCTGGGCACAGTGGCTCACACCTTTAATCCCAGCACTTTGAGGGGCTGTGATGGGAGGACTGACAGCCTAGGAGTTTCAGACCAGCCTGGTCAACATAGTGAGACCCTCTCTTTAAAAAAATAAAATAGGCCGGGCGTGGTAGCTCACGCCTGTAATCCCAGCACTTTGGGAGGCCGAGGCGGGTGGATCACCAGGTCAAGAGATCGAGACCATCCTGGTCAACATGGTGAAACCCCGTCTCTACTAAAAATACAAAAAATTAGCTGGGCATAGTGGTGCGTGCCTGTAATCCCAGCTACTCAGGAGGCTGAGGCAGGAGAATTGCCTGAACCCAGGAGGCGGAGGTTGCGGTGAGCCGAGATCGTGCCATTGCACTCCAGCCTGGGTAACAAGAGCGAAACTCCATCTCAAAAAAAAATAAATAAAATAAATAAAAAAAAATAAAAAATAACTCAATGTCATGACTTGCACCTATGGTCCCAGCAACTTAGAGGTCGAGGCAGAGGATTGCTTGAGCCTAGGAGGTCAAGGCTGCAGTGAATTATTTTCTGGCCTCTGCACTCTAGCATGGGTGACAAAGTGAGACCGTCTCTCAAGAAAACAAACAAAACACCTGCTGAACTCAGCATTTCCCAAATTTCTGAGCCAGCACAACCCTTTCACCAACAACCTCTGAGGATGCTTGGGAACTGCTGTAATAGCTGTGGTCTGTGTAAAGAACACAGGAGGAGCTTGGAGGGGGAAGATCGCTCTGCTGGGGGCAATGAAGAAGGATTTTCTGAAGAAAGTGGTTTTCAAACTAAGAAAAGAGCAAGAGATTCACCAGGGAGATGATGTGGGGAAATGGAGTAGGTGTCCCTGAAAAGGACTCCCAGGCAGTAAGCAGCACATGTTAAAAATATGGAAAAGCAGGAGTTTGGCTTGTTTGGAGAATTGCAACTAAGTATTCGTCTAGTTGGAGCAGAGGGTTTGGGTAGGAGATGAGAGAAAAGATGAAGGCAGTGGCTGGATCCCTTAGGCCCTAAGATGCTATATTCCACAATTCAAAGAATTCAGTTTCAATGTAAATATAAAATAATATTTGTTGAGCACCTACTGTGTACCAGGATCTGTGCCTGGTACTGGGGAAATGTTGATTTGTAAGACATGTACTCTGCCTTTGCTCCTTACAATCTAGCAGGGAATGTAGACAAGAAAACCAGGACAGCATTGTTCACAGAAGGGAGTGCCAAGTGCGTAGGGAGGTCAAGAAGGGATTAAACATGTCCACAGGATTTAAAAACAAGAAGGCGGCCGGCGCGGTGGCTCACGCCTGTAATCCCAACACTTTGGGAGGCCAAGGCCGGCGGATCACCTGAGGTCAGGACTGCAAGACCAGCCAGGCCAACATGGTGAAACCCCGTCTCTACTGAAGTTACAAAAATTAGCTAGGTGTGATGGTGCACACCTGTAGTCCCAGCTACTTGGGAGGCTGAGGCAGGAGAATAGCTTGAACCTGGGAGGCAGAGGTTGCAGTGAGCCGAGATCACGGCACGGCACTCCCGCCTGGGCAACAAGAGCAAGACTCAAACAAACACACAAACAAGACCAAGAAGGATGCCATGGTCCTGGGCCACTGCTGTTTTGGTGAATTATCAGAGGGAAGAGAAGGGCAGAGGAATGAAGAGGAGATACAGAAATGCAGAGAAAGACAATACATGGCTCCTTCGAGAAATCTGGCTGAAAGCAGGTAAGAAAGGGGGCGGTAACTGAAGGGAAGTGCGGGTCAAGGGGTTGCTTCATTTAGATGGATGGGAGAGACTTTGCTATCTCCTCCTTTATTCTCCGTAGATGATCTCACTACTTCTTTTTTATTATTATTATTTTTAGTGTTCAAAGGGGAAAAAAAAAAGGTGCCTTCAGATAGGAACTCGGCTTTAACTCCTCACCACCAAAGGAGAAGATGGGCGTATGAAAGGGCAGCTGTAGAAAGTTAGTTGTTAAAGACTGAGGTTTGAGAGGGGCAAATGATACTTAGGTCCTCGCTGAGAAGGTGGAAGCAGGTGAGATTTGATGCTCCAGCAGAGGGACCAGCGTTGGCCGGGAAGGTGGGACGCCCTCCATTGTTACAGGGAGCTGGGGGGAAGAACTGGTGGCGAGGACAGTCTTTAAAGACTTGACGGTGGAGAGTTAATGCAAGTTTCCATCTGACAGCACTTAGTTTTCTTTCTTTGAGGGGTGGGGGCGGGTCAAGTACAACTTTATGAAGAAAGGAAGGATAAACTTATTGAGGAAGGTTATCTGGCAGTGTTGAAGGCCCCCCTGAGGCTGGGACTCCCACCTACACACACACGTGACTTCCGTAGCACAACCCAGCAGCTGGGGTGTAGCTCCAGCAAGAGAATACAGTTGGCTTCATACAGGGTCAGGGTTTGCTGGGTCAATGGGATGGAAGGAAAGGCAAAAGGGGCAAAAGGTGGGAGCAGTCACTTGTGCCAGGAATCCCAGCAAATTGGGAGGCCAAGGCGGGAGGTTCACTTGAGTCCAGCGTTTGAGACTAGCCTGGGCAATATAGCAAGACTCCTTCTCTACAAAAAATAAAATTAGCTGGGTGTGGTCATGCGTTCCTATAGTCCATGATACTCAGGAGGCTGAGGTGGGAGGACTGTTTAAGCCTGGGAGGTTGGGGCTGCAGTGAGTCACGATTACCCGACTGCACTCAGCCTGGGCAACAGTGAGACCATCTCAAAACAAATACATGAACAGGTTGGGCGCAGTGGCTCATGCCTGTAATCTCAGCACTTTGGGAGATCGAGGTGAGCGGATCATAAGGTCACGAGTTTGAGACCAGCCTGGCCAAGATGGTGAAACCCCATCTCTACTAAAAATATAAAAATTAGCCAGGCGTGGTGGCAGAAACCTGGAATCCCAGCCACTTGGAAGGCTGAGGCAGAAGAATTGCTTGAACCTGAAAGGTGGAGGTTGCAGTGAGCTGAGATCGCACCACTGCACTCCAGCCTAGGTGACAGAGTAAGACTCTGTCTCAAAAAAAAAAAAAAAGCTACAAGGAATAAATAAATAAATATTGCAAAAATATGGTTTAAGTAACCTTGGAATTAAAGATGAGGAGGAGTCAGGCAGTGAAGATTGGAGAACAGGTGGGTGGGAATAATTGAGCAGGCTAATTGGATGGTTGAGAGGTTGCTACCTGAGTAGCGATTTGGGAGGTGTCTTGGCATGGCCAGAAGAGTGAGTGGCTGAGGTGACATGGAGGAGAAAGTCATGGGGTGGAGGGGAGATGGCCAAGAGGCCACTCGTAATATGGGGATGATCTAGGATGGCAGTAGAAGAGGGCGAAATAGAAGATGGGGAACAAGTATCCACCTCTCCACAGGAAAGGGCAGAGATGGTGCCTCCAAGGCTCAGTTTGCTGATGATCTATAGGCCAGAGAAGTCCGCTGGATTTGCAAGTGGGCCAGGAGTTTCTTAACTTTTTATTTTGACATTTAATTTCAAATTTATAGAGAAGCTACAAGGATGGTACAAAGAATTCCCACATGCCTTTCACCTAGATGTTAACACTTCACATTTGCTCTTTCATTCTCTCAGTATGCACAAGCATACTTTTTTCTTTCTTTCTTTTTTTTTTTTTTTTTGAGATGGAGTTTCGCTGTTGTTACCCAGACTGGAGTGCAATGGCACGATCTCGGCTCACCGCAACCTCCGCCTTCTGGGTTTAAGCAATTCTCCTGCCTCAGCCTCCCGAGTAGCTAGGACTACAGGCACACACCACCATGCCCAGCTAATTTTTGTATTTTTAGTAGAAATGGGGTTTCACTTTGTTGACCAGGATGGTCTTGATCTCTTGACCTCGTGATCCACCCGCCCCACCTCCCAAAGTGCTGGGATTATAGGTCTGAGCCACCACGCCCAGCCAGCAAGCATACTTTTTTCTAAACTATTTTAGCATAAGTTGCCGACATGATGCCGTTCTGCTCCTAAATGCTTCAGGGTGGACTTCCTAAAAACAGGGACATTCTCTTTACTTTGATCTGAATGCTGCTGTTCCCCTAAATTCATACACTGAAATCCCAACCCCCAAAGAGATAGTATTAGGAGGTGGGGTTTTGGGATTAGTGTCTTTATAATAGAGCACCTGAGAGCTGCCTTGCGTCTTCCGCCATGCAAGGACACAGCAAAAAGATGCCATCTATGTGAAAGTGGCCTTCACCAGATGCCAACATGGCTGGTGTCTTGATTTTGAACTTCCGAGCCTCCAGAATGGTGAGAAATAAATTTCTGTTGTTCAGAAGCCACCCAGTCTATAGTATTTGGTTATTGCAGCCTGAATGAAGTAAGATTCTCTTAATTAATCCCAGTACAATTATCAGAACTACGAATTGACCATTGTTACCCTTGGATCATCTATATAATGTAATCAAAGATTGCTAACTGTAAGGGGCCAGTTTTTACGGATTACTTTCCACCCTGCTGCTTTTCCTTTCCCCCTTTATTCCTCTTCTCTTCCAGGCCTTTGAGAAACAGGAGACTGAGTGGGAGAAAGGAGCTAACCCTTTCCTGTTTGTTTTGAATGTTCTACGTTCAAATGATCGCAAATTCACAGGGAACTTTAAAAGAAGCAATGTATCTTTTATGTCAACATTTTGGGTTTGGAATTTAACATCTCATTGAGATACTTTAAAGCCATATTTTTTAAGGCTATTTTCATGATTTGGCATCCATTTAGCAAATACTTATGAAGCACTACCTTATGCCAGGCACTTTTTACAAACTGGTGATACAGTGAGCAGTTAAACCTCTGCCTCAAACTCTACCAAACTGGAATTTATTCTATTCCGGGTGGAGTAAACCAGTTCCCTTTAACAAACCTGCGAGTTACTAGCTAGTACTGTGCTTGTTTCTTTTAGCATCTTTTTTTTTTTTTTTTTTTTTAGACGGAGTTTTGCTGTTGTTATCCAGACTGGAGTGCAATAGCACAATCTCGGCTCACTGCAACCTCTGCCTCCTGGGTTCAAGCAATTCTCCTGCCTCAGCCTCCCAAGTAGCTGGGATTACAGGTGTGCACCACCATGCCCAGCTAATTTTTGTATTTTTAGTAGAGACGGGGTTTCATCTTGTTGACTAGGATGGTCTCGATCTCTTGACCTCGTGATCCACCCGCCTTGGCCTCCCAAAGTGCTGGGATTATAGGTGTGAGCCACCGCGCCCAGCCCTCTTTTACCATCTTAACAGTTTTTAAGTGTACTGTTCAGTCGTGTCAAGAATATTCACACTGTTGTGCAACGGATCTCTAGAACTTTCTCACATTGCAAAACTGAGACTCTGTACCCATTAAGTGATATCTTTTCATTTTCCCCTCCCCCCAGACCCCATAATCACCATTCTACTTTCTGTTTCTGTAATTTTTCTTTTTTTTTTGAGATGGAGTTTTGCTCTGTAACCCAGGCTGGAGTGCAGTGGCATGATCTTGGCTCACTGCAACCTCCACTTACCAGGTTCAAGCAGTTCTCCTGCCTCAGCCTCCAGAGTAGCTGGGATGACAGGCACCTGCTACCATGCCTGGCCAAGTTTTGAATTTTTAGTGGAGAGGAGATTTTGCCATGTTGGCCAGGCTGGTCTCAGGTGATCTACCCACTTCAGCTTCCCAAAGTGCTGGGATTATAGGGGTAAGCCACCATGTCCCATGTGTTTCTATGAATTTGATGAGATACCTCACATAAATGGAATCACATACATTAGTATTTGTCTTTTGGTGACTGGCTTATTTCACTTTAGCATAATGCCCCAAGATTCATCCATGTTGTAGCATGTGTCAGAACTTCCTTCCTTTTAAAACTGGGTAATATTCTATAGTATGTATGTCCCACATTTTATCCATTCACTCACTGAGGGACATCTGTATTGCTTCTACCTTTTGGTTACTGTAAACAGTACTGCTATGAAATAGATATACAAATATCACTTTGAGATGTTGCTTCAATTCTTTTAGATACATACCCAGTAATAGGGATTGCCGGAAGGAAATAACACTTTCATGTGCTTCTGAGTTTGGCTCTTTATACATTACCTTGGTTATTGTCTCAAGCAGTGCACCCTTAATCCCAAGCAACTGGAGCTCTTGGGCTGGGTGGGTACCTTATTGGTTCAACTCTGCCCAGAGTCCAAGGAACCCAGAGGATGTGCTCACAAGCCTTCCTTTAAATTGTGCTGTAGCTTCCCACTTAACCATCCTCAAATTTGCTTCCAGGGCCCAGGTAGGCGTTTTCCTAGGTCCACCCTCCTTAGAGTGGACCTGCTAGTATGTACAGCCCTAGACCCAAAGGGTGGCTATGGGGCAGCTTTGTGTGGGGTCATGGTGTGGATCTTCAGGTTGTGTGTCCGCATGCAGGCATATGAAGCCTGAGACCTCACACTGCAAGAATGAGTTGGGAATGGTGAGGGGAGTCCATTTGTACTTTTTCTTTGGACTCCAGTAAGTATTAGTAGCCATAATGTTGTTAGATAAACAAGTACTATTGACAAGTTCTGAAGAACATTTAGTTCCATTACTGTACACCTGTTTTTAACTGGCTGTATTTTCTAGAATCAGTGTACCACTGGCTTCTCAGTGTATAGCGTCTTGTGGGTGAACCGGACAGATAAGATTTGCCACTTAGTTAAGGAAGCCTGCACCAGGGTGAAAAAACTGTTGTGGTTAATCTGAATGAATCTAGTCTTCTCTTCTTTTGC